AACGAAGGGAGCGATCCTCCTCCGACCCGCACTTACGGATCTTCGCGAGCCGATACCACGAATGATCTATTCGACAGTTCAACTCATGCGCTGCTGATAGATAAGACTACCCATATAGTTTGATACGTAAACATTTTTGAAGTGTTTCTCATATTGCCAATGTGTGAATGTTAATCTAGATGTAAAATAAATATATGAGTCTCCGAAATATATGTAGATTCGCGCATAACTTCAGAACAACTGAAGTAAATTGGATAAGTCTTTCTGTGTTCGTTATTGTCGGGAGGTTTGTATGAAAAAATGCAAAGTGATGCACGTACGAAGTCGCCGACAGCAGCTAGTAATTCAAAACACCATCGTCCAGAAAGCTATCGGATAAAGTCACGGTGTATAAAAATATTAATAAAACAAAGGTATGGTAATGAAAACTATTTATTAATATGATAGAACTTCCACCTTAAATTAGGAATGATAACAAAAGCTTGATATACACTAACTGTCGTACTCAGAGACATTTAATAAATACTTAAACAATTCTTCAGTAACGATTTGTTCTGAAAACAATTGCTCAGGACTGGGTTAATTGGGTATTTTCAAGGGTCAAATATAAATTACTTAGATTTTTCAATCCAAAAATAATTACAATATCATTCATATATTTATGACCATATACTTAATTTTCGATTTATTCTAGCAACTTTTTCAGAAATAAGATTGCTATTTCACTCGAAAATATGATGACGTCATAAGTTAGTTTTTGGTACAAAATTCATAGAACAATATAGTTTTTGTCGTTTCGATAAAAGTATTGAATTTGATTAGTTGTTAAATACCGTATTATCAATTAAATGACTTTGAGTACGGCGGTAAAACCTAGGCATAGGAAAAATAAAATTGGATATCAAAATTATCCAAACCGCTAGTAATGTACCTACCTACCTACATAAATTAGTATTCATTTATTTTATTTTTAAGCCTCGGCCACTCTAGAGCGGAACTACAGCAGTTTTTAACCCCGGAACGTTAAAATGTAAAAATGGAAATGGGAGTGAGACAAGATCGCAAGTGCGGCCGCTTGTATTCGATTTCTAGTTACGCAAAATTATTCGGTTACAAACTCGGTGGTTTCGCTCTAGTGTGGCAGGAGCCTTAGTATTGGCACACACGCTAATTTTGTCACAATAAAGATGTTATCGATACTATAATTATTGTGGTAATATTGCAGCATTTTTCGATGTCCGATGTCCGAAAATATATTTAGCAAGGGGACTAAAATTATCGCGTGACCAATAATTATGATCGATATAAGTAAAGAATGATGACATGATTTAATAAATAACAAATTATTTTTGGTTATTAAACCAACCCACTAACTCTAATGGTCTTTTAAATATGGTTCTTAAGGATCAACAATTTAGTAAACATTCCCTGTCACACAATTTATTAATTTCATAATAAGATACTTCGTTGCTCCAATTTCAAAACATTATCTAATCTTCGTCCAAAGAAATAAAGTAAGTTCAAATACGTATTTACTATGCAAAATACTGTCGAAGCAACAACAAGTAATTATCATTTATAAGTAGATTGATGATGCGGCGCTAGTTTTAAAAAACTTTCAGTTCAAAATCATTGAAACTATTAAACCGATTTTAATGAAACTTGGTACTCATACACAACGTATCAAAGTCTAAAAAGTTACTTGCGAGCAATTTCAAAAATGTCTTCAAGTGGGCAGTTATGCGTGATTAAACTCTACTCTACTCTCTCTTCTACTTCTTAAGGGTGCGTCTACATCTGGCGAATGCTCCGCAAATGAGCAGCTTGCGAGCCGCTCACATGCATTTAAAATTATTATTATTTATACGAACCGTCTATGACGTGATTGCACGAATGCAGCTCGCGAGCAGCTTGTAAGTTGGCACATTCGCGGCGCATTCGCCAGAGGCCTTAGTACGAGTTTGTCCTACGTTTAAAGTAATCGTAACGAGTACGCATTCGGCGCTGTGATTGGTTGCTTCATTGGTGCCGGCCAATCAGAGTGCCTAATGCGTACTCATTTCGAATACTTTAAACGTAAAACAAACTCGTACTAAGCCCTCAGATGTGGACGCACCATAAGTCTAGCCGTCCATACCTCTGCGCAAAACTTTCTGCCAACCCTTCTAGGTAAGGTTAGTCCTACTATTTCCTAACCCAGATGAATCTGAATAATATATGTATAACGGATATCTCATCACGTATTTTACACGATTTAACTACTGATTTTTTAGTATGTAACAGTATAATTAATTTCATATGCTTTTAAATTATTTTCAACTGTCAACACTATTTTTTTTATATTTTCTGTTCTACTTAGGCTTTAAGAACAGCGAGGGGGGACACGGTATTATTACATTTTATAATAAATCAATGCAGAGAAATGAAGCATACATACATTTGAACTTTCTTCAACTTTATTAAAACCAAAAGACTTCTTAATCAACCTTTTTTTTTAATTATTCATGTGGTAAATGTTTCCAAAAATCAACGAATTCAAAGCTGTATCTCTTCCTCCATAGATAACTTCATTTTTGTTTTATGTACCTACTTATTTAATTTCTCATAACGATTAATATTACTCAACAACTACGCATGTAATCGCTATAAGTTGTCAAATAACAACGTTGCATAAGGCAAGCTGGCGCCATTTTGTTTAAATTACATAATATATGATTATAGTTAGAATATTATTCGATCACAGATTATTGTACGTTTAGGTAAATAGATACAATTAGAGTAACATAAATCGAATCAAGCTATCTTTATAAGGAATGGAATGTCAATGTACCCACGATTTAATTAACAGGTATATTACATTTATCAATCCTAGTAGTCACGTGACGCACGATTACGTCATCACTGACAATTACTTTTATTGGTTCTATTTATCGATGGCTCTGATTGGTTGTTTGGTTGAGAGACCATTTGTTGTAGAGGTAATGTGTTTCTTTCTTTCTTTGCCAAATGTATATACTGTACAATGAACTATTCCCGTATTTGTACAATGAATTTTTACAAAATGTTATTTTTTTAACTGGCTTTTAGTAAAATAAGGAACGGTAATGTGTTTTTAACCATATAAAGGAAAATTAAGTAATTATTAGTATCATGATTGACCTAATTCGTAAAACTAATAACTGGTGTGCCTACACAGTTTCCCAAATATAAAATTGGCTGAAAAGAGCATTTCCATGAACACCAACACTTCAACAAATCTAGTTAAATAAAACTTACATGCAAAAACATGAAAGAATTTTAGTGTTATAGCAACCCTTTCTTTGTGTGATAAAGATTACACAATAATTTATTATGATTGTGAACTTTAAAGGGCAAAGATAAATCTGAAACCATATTTTTTCGTTTCGTATAGATGCAACTACGTGTAGAAAACCTTTAAAGTTCAATATTGATTGTGCATGTAATGCAAAAAAAAACAAGAAAGCTGCATTACTCTTAATAGGTGAATATACATTAAAAGTGATGTAAAATAACCTTAATTATTGTTCTTTTAAATACAATAATTGAGGACAAAAACTTTTTATATTGAAAACAATGAACTACCAACTCACAATATTCAATATTAGAATATATCGCAGCTAACTAACTTAAATTGGTGTTTAAATACAATAGATAATCACGCGTTTTATCCCTAAAGGCCGGAGGGATAGGCAGAGGTGTACATTACGGTACTTAATGCAATAGTAGAATGTAACACCCACTTTTCACTATTTATGTTAAGAGTCCCATGTAACAGGGGGTTAGCCTATTAAGTTTAATGATTGTTTATTCACTCATAAAAAACATGGTTCACTTACAATGAGCTTAAATGACTATCTATAGCTATGTATACAGAGTCATGACCAAACGGTGTTAATAAATATTTTCAGATACATATTTTCTTAAGCTATTTTTGAACATGGCAATCGACTGACATTCCTTAATATTATTTGGCAAATTATTATACAATTGTGCTCCCTCATATGTTATACATTTTTTACCGTAATTTGTTTTGTGCCTTTGTAGTTTAATTTTGTTTGCATTTCTCAAGGAATGATAAAATGATCTCATAGTAAACTTGATCTCAGATTGTATTTGACCCGTTAGTATTTTTCTCACCAGCAAGCACATATTGTAAGTGTAGGTCTGTTGCAAGTTAAATATTTTTGTTTCAGTATATAATTGACGTGTATTAGTAAGATAGTCATAGTTAAATAGAGATTTAATGGCTTTGTTTTGTGAAACTTGAAGACCATGCAAATTAGACTTAGCAGCACATCCCCATATTTCTATAAGATACTCTAAGTGAGACCTTACGAGAGAATTATATATGGTCATGCGTACTTTTTGTGGAATACAACCTGATGCTCTTCTAAGAATCCCAGTCAGTGATGATAATTTCGATTTGACATAGGCAATGTGGTTCCTCCAAGTTACTTTATCATCAAGTCGCAAACCTAAATATTTTTCGTGATGGGAGCGATGGATAACAACATTATCTATAGTTAACAAGGGGTATTGAGGGATCCT